ATGATAAAATAGGAGCCTTAGGATTTTAAGTCCAAACGCTGAGTTTGAGTAGTACTGGGCCTGCCACCTACCACCTCTACAGCTCAGAAAAGTTACATAATCTTTTGTAAAATAAATAAAAATAAATACACAGAAGTGTGGCATCGCTCTTTGTATACAAGAAAACACAAGTGGTCTGGACTCAGCTTCTTCATCAGTATAATGGAGCTGATGATAATGTCACCTTCCAGGTTATGAATGAGAGTGAGAGTTACAAAAGAATTGCTGCTAAGCTGCTAAAGTGCATTGGGAACTGCTGCAAAGTCAGTTTTTATCAATGCGAACTAGGTCTTTATTTCTGTAACCAGGCTCAGTGATGCAATGTTTCAATAATTCATCCCAATCCAAAAACACTGAACAAGTGCCTAAAAACAAGGAAGGCAGCGTATAAGGGTCTGAGGGGTCTGAGTGATGAATGGGGAATTGAAATCACAGGATCAAAGAGGAATAGAGCCAAACAGATCTTTCCAGACAACTAATCCATATGCCCTGTTTACCAAAGGGCATCCACAGACAGGAAACGAGATGCTCAAGGTCACACAGTAAACTAGTGGCAAAAGCAGGGTAAAATCTTCAGTCTCCTCACTTCTAGTCTGATGTTTTTTCCTACTGCACTTTGCTGGAGTGAGTGTATGTATATTTCAAAACCACATTTTAAATGGGTCTCTTCTTCCCTTGTGGTTCATGCATTTACCTTTTATTAGTTACTACCATCCCTGGGCTCTAGCCAGACCCATTCCCCATCAAATGCCAGGAAGGGACAAAAAAACCCCTTTCTGAAGGTCAGAGGGAGTCAGAGGCCCAAAAATGCCATGCTTCCTGGAATAGGAGTCGCTCAAACTCTTCCGACCTCCCAAAGATGCACTTTCCTCAGCATCTTTATAGCCTCACTCATGTCCCGGCACTTTTATCAGGACCTATTGCTACTCACTTACAGCTTTAATAATTGCTAGTTGCTGGCCATATCAATAGTCTTGGCTGAGTAAGCTGAGAAAAGCTAAAGAAAAAGAAAATCCTGAAGAGGCATCTCATAAAGTAGAAAGTAGCACTACAGCACTTACAAGCAGACCACTGAAACTTACTTAATAGCTGACACAGCAGAGGGATAGGACTAGGTGGTGGTGAGAAGAGCTGAGCATATTGCCTCACTGTTTCCAGATCTAACCAGTTCCTTGCAAAATTCTCAACATGGTCCACAAGATCCTGTGATCTGGTCTCTACCTATTCCTTCACTCTCATCTCACACAATTTCCCCCTTGATTGTTTAGTCCCTGTGATGTGGCCTTCTTTCACTCTCATGAGTGTTTCAAGCTCTACCCCACATTAGGCCTATTCTTGTTGTAGAACACTCCCTTCCCCCCCACCATCCCCTCACCCTACATATCCACCCTTTACCTGGCTAACTTTTCTCATCCTTAATTCTCAGCTTGTGTTACTTTCTCAGGAGATCTTGACTCTTTTTCACTTTCTTCACAGTACTGGTAACTTATGCTACTTTTATCTGTCCACTATACCTTCCTTTAGGGAAGCCCTAGTTTAAACAGTTATTGGAGGACTATAATACTTGCCTCCCCTAGCCATTGGGATAGGCATGTGACTCACAGGTAACCAATCATATTCTTCTCTGAGATTAATATATGGTGGCTGGGGGAGAGACGCTCTTTCTGCAGGAGTTGGGCAGATATGAATCTGGAGCTGCCATCATCCATCTTACCCCCCATGCAGAATTTGGCTACAGGAGGAAGCTGAAGGGGTAAGCAAAGCTGAGAACTATAGAGTGCAATTGAATCCTGGGTCTAAAGAACTTCCCAGCTACATGAGTTAATAAATTTTGTTTTATTAACTAGGATTTGGAAAAAAACCTGAAAAACCATAAAAAAAAGGGGAAACAAAAAACTTGTTCTGGGTGCTTGGAATAATTAAACAAGTTAGACATAACTTTAGGGCTCTCGAGGTCTAGCAAGAGATAGAGACAAGTGAGTAAGTAAGTTCAGGTAAGCAATAGAGGAAAGCTCAGGAAGTTGAGTAGGGCAGGGCTGGCTTACTGCCCAAATCTGACTAATTTGTTAATAAGGCCCTCTTCAAGGGCTTTCCCAAACCTCTAACTAAGAATTACTCTCACTTCCATCTGTGTTTCTACATAAAATTGATAGATCTATACTGATTCCACTACTTTTTAACTGTGTAATCTTGTGAAAGTTACTTAATCTCTAAACTTCATTTTCAGAGTATTGGACATACTGTATAGTGCCTACTTTGAAGGGTTATAGTGAGCATTAAATGAGATAATACAAAGTATTTCATATAAAGCCTGACTTGAAATATATCACCCATTATTACCATATTTGCCCTGTAGTGTGGCTAAGTGGTTAGGCCCTCAACCAAACTACTGCTTGGGTTCAAATTCTAACTCTACCTATTCCTGACTGTGTGACCTTAAGCAAGTTACTCAACTTCTTCATGCCTCAGTTTTCTCATCTGTTAAGAAAAATAGTAACTTGGAGATAAGAAAAGTATTTGTCTCAGAGGGTTCTAGGAGGATTGAATTAAATGAATAATACCATAAAACACTTAGAATAGTGCCATGCATATGGTAAACAGCTAATCAATATTTAACCAACTTGGTTTTTAAAAATCTTAGTCATAAGGACTTGGCATGCTAGCTATATTTTTCCCTAATATAAAACTAACTCATCTTTTTAAAATTTACTCTTGTTTAACTCTAAGGGCTTGACATGCTGATTATATTTCTTCTAATACACATCAAAACGTTACATAAAATCATCTTGCACACTTCTAGTGTCATAGGTCTCCCTCTTTGGGAAACACTACTCGAGGCTCACACAATCTCATGATTTATGGCTCCCTGAACACCAAGTGCTCTTCCTTGCCTTTACCAGTGTTATTCCCACCACTTAGAATGTCCTGCCTCTCTTCCTCACTTGGCTGCTCCTACTTGTCTTTAGGACTCAGCTTGGGCATCATGTTCTCTGACCCCAGCTGTGTTCCCACAACCCCTGGCAGGTCCCTCTATCACAACACTGATCACTTGGGGTATCACCGTTTCTGCCTTTCACAATATCCTATTTCACTGCACAGTACCTGGCATAGAGTAGGTACTCAGGAAGTCTTAATTGGATTGAAGTAAGATGAGGTAGCCAAATACTTAATAAAAATTTAATCAAAACATATTTTTGCAGTATCCACTCAGTATCAGGCCATATGCTAGGCGCTGTGGGTTCAAATATAAACAAGACTCATTTCCTGTCCTCATGGAGCTTTTGGGAGATGGACAAGAAAACAAGTGCACCTCAGTGTGATGGGCACTGTGACTGACTGCTGCCTGTATGGGGTACATGAAGTGCGGACACAAAGAACTCTACGCAGCCAGGAAAGGTTTCATGCACAGAAGGTGTGAAGCTTGAATTGTTCTGAAAGCTGAGTGGGAGGTTCACTGGATGAATGAAGGTAGGAGATGGGGCGTGGAAGAGAGCATTCCAAACAAATGGGGCATAGCCAGCCCAGGGAGAGTGCTGGGTGTTCCCCTGGGGACAGCAGATTGAAGACATAAAGAGATAGCCTGAGATCACCCAGGTGTGGGCTTCGCCACATGCTCACTGTTCTGTGAACCACAGATGGGTGGAGGCACTTTCTGGAGCCCAAGAACCTCTGTGATGGTACGTGAACAGCATGACCCAAAATGATGCAACCTCCCATTTATTATTTACCTACAGTTTGCTAATTTCTTCTCCAGAAAACCCTGGGGAATAGGGGATAGGAGAAAAGTATAGGATACCTCCTCCAACACACATGTACTTGCAATACATGTAATACAAATATATACAAGACACAACTCACATAATACAAACATATTACAACACACTTGTATATTATACAGTTTACTCACATACCAGACCAAATACCTGTACTTCAGAAATTGTCAGAGAGTATAACTGTAAACTCCATACTTCTGAAAACTTACACCACCTAGGTTGGGAGAACTTCTTACAGAGATTGGCTAAAAGCTAAGCAGTACATCCATTCTTCTAGAGGGAGATTTCCCTAAGTCACTCTTACACTGAACCCCAATACGGAAAAGAAAAGAAAAAGCTGCTATGTTAAGCAAGGGTAGGCAGAGGTCCTGCTGTGGGGTCACTGAGACACACCTAAGGCACCTGGGTCCCAATGGAACACAAGAATCAAGATGCTTTAACTTTGGGAAAAGTCAGAGCAATACTGAGCTGCAAACTTAAGCCACGTTGTTTCATCCCTTCATACAATAACTTTTGTTGTGAAATGTGTTTTGGTGAGAAAGGATCAGTTTACATTGAGAGAAAGTGTAAGAAACAACCTGTGATGTTCAGTGTTATAGTTACTACAAGGTTGTTTGATATTGAGGACATTGTCATACACCACAAATAGAGTCTGCTCTACAGTTGCCAATGAAGAGCAGTGCTTCTCTGGAAAAATGGGTTTGTTTTTTACTTAAGAACCATCTCTAAACCATGTAACTGGTTATGTTTCCTTCTTTCCAATGGTTGCTAGGAAGCTAAAAGCTGGTATTTTGGCCCAACTCTTGCGCATGCCCAAGAATTTACAATATACATACTTATCTCACCCCTGGCTTCCTCTTATTTTCCTCATACCTTTGCTTTTCCTTTGCTCCAATTTTCTCACTTATTTGGTTTTTTTTTAAGTGTATTATAATAATTTTTAAAAACATTTCACATCTTTTGTGGAAGGAACTAATTTTTAAAAAGTTCATAATTGTGTTTTCTTTATATATTCACCGTAACAAATAATGAATTACATGGCACAAAGCTATATGAACATCACACAAATATAAAACAATACTTAGAGAGCACATATGTACATACTTCACAATCACAAACCACCCCCGCCCCCACAGTGTCACTATCCCGGCACACACACACACGAACACCCATGTGTTGTGTACATACCAAGCTGCTCTGCGAGGAGCCGGCCCTTCTCAGCGGGAACAACCCTTTCTTCTTCCATGTCACACTTGTTTCCCACCAGGATAACCTGTGCATTGTCCCAGGAGTAGGTCTTGATCTGAGTAGCCCTAAATAGTGACAGAGAGAGGACCACACTAATGACACCCCCCTAGACTGAAGAGGACTCTGTGAAGTGTGAAGAAACCAATTCTCTTCCATGGGAAGAGCAACACCCAAGTTATGTCAATTAAGTCAGCCGAGGACAGAGACAGGTACCTGCCCCTGCTGGCTATCACAGGTACTGATCCCTGAGTCCTGACTGCAAACTTCCCCTAGTTCTTTGGAACCTTCTTCTAATGCATCTGCCTATCCTTCTTCTTACCAAGCAGAGAGCTCTTTCTAAAACATCTATCTGACCATATTCTTTAAGAGCTTTCTCTCTCCCACTACCCATGCACTGAAGTCTAGTTCCCTCAGTTAGGCGTTAAAGACCATTCACTTCCTGTCTAAGCTCATTGCCTTTCCTCACACTTTACAAACCTTCTCACCCATTCCCCAAATTCTCTTTCATGGCTTATGCCTTTGCCTGCATAGGGAATTCCTTTCCCACACTAATTCATCCTCCAGGGCCCAAGGCTAAGCCCAGTTTGCTGTGGGGAGATTTTTCTGGGCCCAGCTAGCCTCTCCCTCCTCCTCTGTGAATCATAAACCTTAAATCATGATTACTTGTAGAAACCAAAATGTCAGCAGTGCTTTCTTTCATATACAACGATTATGAAACTTTTAAAAAAATAGTTTCCTGCCCTGGCTGGTGTGGCTCAGTGGATTGAATGCCAGCCTGTGAACCAACGGGCTGCTGGTTCAATTCCCAGTCAGGGCACATGCCTGGGTTATAGGCCAGGCTCCCAGTTGGAGGCATGCAAGAGGCAACCGACTGATGTATTTCTCACACATTGATGTTTCTCTCCCTTTCTTTCTCCCTCCCTTCCCCTCTCTCTAAAAATAAATTAATTAATAAAATAAAATTTAAAAAATAGTTTCCTGTACTTTTCAAATTTTGAAAGAAAGTATTTCTAATTCTATAATTAGAAACAAAATTTTAAAAGAGGGAGTAAAATAGGACCCTTATATTTTGGAGATATCTTTGTGTGAGGTGGGCCTGACTCTGTTCCCAACCACCCCATTGGGTAGAAATGGTTACTTCCCCTTTTGCCTTCCCTACACATTTACTGTGACTACTGTTACATTTGGCTGGATTTCTGTCCTTCCTTTGAGGGCAGGGACAGACTTATTCATCTTTGAGGTGCCAGCTCCCAGCAAAGAGAACAGAGAAGTTGACAGTGAATATCTGATAAATGAATAAGATAACAAATGGCTAATCCTGAAGTAGATCTAAAATTATGACCCTATCCTAACACTGACCATTAGACTAACTCAATCTTAACTACAACCTGGACGCATTACTGACTCTGCTCCTAAAACTGATCCCATCACCAACTTTCTTTAATGGTGAAAAGCCATTCCTTCAAAGGATGGAATTCAGTCAACTACCTTTTGTTGTGAGCCAACAAAGAGCTAGGTTCCATGCTGGGCTCTGGGGCTTTAATGGCAGGTGGGGGCTAGGCTGGGACCAAGTTTCTCAGAGGCAAAACTCAAAGGCCAAGGCTTGAGAGAGATATATACTTGGCCTTCAGCCTCGAGGCAGGAACTGGAGCCAATTCTCCACATTTCCTCATGCAACTCTTCCTGTCATTTTCCTCCCTCTTCCCACCCCATCCATTCTCAGCTCCCAAATTAGCAACTCAGGTTATTCTTGGAGGAATTGTCACCAGGTGTTAAAGCCACTGTGTTCCTGAGGCTGAATGAACAGAGACTGATGGAGAAAAGGAAGGAGGTCAAGGCCAACAAGGAATAAGAAGTGTGGAGACACTTAAAGAGCTAATCACTCCATGGAGGGATGTGGGAGAAGGGGAAAAACCATGGCTGAAGGGAAGAAAGAGAATAAGAAAGGAAAAAAGGAGGAGAAAAAAGGGGAATAACAAGAAAAGAGAAAGGAAGGGGAAAGAAGGAAGGTAGAGAGGAGTTATTAAAGGAAAGAGAGGAGAGGAAGAAGATGACTGAGAGGCTGAGAAGGAGAACACAGACCACCATGAATGACAGACATGCAGATGGCACCCTGCAATGCTGTTTAGAACAGGGAGGTGCAGCAGGCAGCCTGCAAGGTCACTCTCAGATCAAGGCCCCAAGATACAAACAGTGCTTCATATAGTCATGACAACTTTTCCTTGGGAAATGGGTAGTCCTCAAAGGGCAGCTGTTGGCAAAAGAGAGCAGGAGAAAAGCTTAGCGCTGACCAGCACTGCTCCTGTGTGCCCAGCCTGCTCAGCCTCTCAGATTCCGAAAAAGAGCCACAGCACAGATGCTCCACACTCCCCCATCTTCATCCTTCCCACTGATAGGGGCACAGGGTCCTGGCCCCTCCCTCTCACCTGTCCTTCACCTCATGCTCCTTTCTCCCTGCAATTTATGCTCCAGGAAGAAAGATGCATTGCTCAGAAGTTGTACCACTGGGGAGCTGTGCTGATTTCTATTGTGAATTGGATCTTTACGAACTTGATGTGGATGTACTCTTGGACCCCTAACCTAGCTCAGGGATAAACTTTGTAGGGAAGTAGTTTGTGGATTCACTCACTATTATGGCCAGAACGATCTTTCTAAAACATTAATCTGAACCTGTTGGTTCCCTGATCAAATGTTGTCATCTGTGGGATAAAATCCAAACTCCTTACCCTAGCACACAAAATCCTTCATGACCTCTGCTCTTTCTATCCTCTTACCTACCTTCTTGTCTTTGCACATCTCTATTTTTTTTCTTGAAATATTCTAATCTATTCACCTCTCTGGCAAACTCCTGTTCATCTTACAACATGCAGCATGTGTGTCAGCAACTCCAGGACACCTTCCCTGACTCTGCAAGCTGGGTCAGAGCCCTCCAGTGGGTTCCCACAGCCCTGGTGACTCTCATCATCACTGCACCTGTCAAAGATATTTTCATTGCCTGCTTACTTATCTGTCTTCTCCTCTCATCCATGAATTCCTTGAGGACAGGAGCCAATCTGATTATCCAGATTTCTCTAGCCCACAGCACACTTCAGATTTTCTTGAATAGTTTGATGAATGAATGAATGAATGAATGAATCTCATACCAATCTTGGACAGCATTGAAGGACTCCTCGTTGGTAATATCATACATCAGAATGAAGCCCATGGCCCCACGGTAATAGGCTGTAGTGATGGTCCGGTACCGCTCCTGCCCAGCTGTGTCCTGGGTGGGAAAAGGAAAGAGTCAGCTTCCTAGAAAGTTAGTTTGTGTCCCTAACTTTTTAGTCCCCAAAACAATGACTAATAGAAGCACCTATTATGTGTCCTGTATATGTGTCCTGTATTATACTTGGTGAGTAGGATAAAATGGTTTTTAAAACCTCAGAGAAACGAATAAGAATATAATTAAAATCCCAATAGAAAAATGGGCAAGACGAATAAACAATTCATGGAAGAAATCTAAATGGATATTTATTAAATAAAAAGGTTTTAACTTTATTTTTAATTATAATTTATATTATAGATGAGGATATAATGAAATGTGCAACTTTGCACCTGCTCATGGGAGTAGAACTTGGTTCAATCTTTCTGGAAATCAATTTGGAAGTCTCAAGAGCATTAAAAATATTTGCACCCTTTGATCTGGAATTTTTTTTCCTACAATGTTTTCCTACAAAATCAGTTAGTCAGACAAATACCTAACCACAAAAATGTTTGTTACCACTTTATTTAGACAGTGAAAAAGTATCAACTTACATATTCAACAATAGGAGAATGGTTAAAATATAAACATTTTTATATGTTTATTTTTGTAAGAATATTTAATGACATGGCACAATGCTTGTATTTGTGATATGATACCAGTTTTGTAAGTGTATATGCAGAGAAGAAATTTGGAAAGAAACACATCAAACGTTAATAGTTATCTCTGTATGAGAGACAAGAATTACCAGGACTTTTGTTTTCTTGATGTATTTTTATTTTCACTGCAATAAGCATGTATTACTCTTACATAAGGAGAAATAAACATTTTTACCAAAAAAAAATTCCTAAGACAATTCTTTATTTCAAGCAGCTCACAGTTGAGTTGGAAAAATAAACATGTAAGCAAACTAGCCAAAGGAAGACCAACAGCAAAGTGTCACTGGAGTACAACGGAATGCTTCACCAATGTCTACACAGTCCTTATGTGAGGGACAAGCCAATCTCCCCCTTTTCATCACGTTTTAGAATATGTGATGCTTGAGCATGTATAAAACATTTCCTCACATGTTAGCTCATTTAAATGTTACCAAATCCCTGTGAGGTAGGTGTTATTAGTATTTACATATTATAGTTGAGACTGCAAAAAAACAGAGAGGGTAACTCTCTTAAGGTCTCAAAGCTGGTGACAAAAGTTATGCCTTCAATCCAGGATATCTGATTCCAAATCCAAAGCACACACCTCAATCAATAAAAAGTTTATTCACAAGCACTTACTGAACACTATCTATAATGATAATGGGAACAATAATAATTATAGCATGCCATTATTTGCACATATGCCACACCTGTTACACAAACTTTAGAAAAACCCTGAAGGGCATATATTATTACTCCCTTTTACTAATGAGAAAAACTGAAGTTCAGAGAGATTGCCCACTAAATGTCAGATTTGTGATTCAAAACAAGTCTGCCTGACTCTTATACCTATTACAGTATACTGCCTTGGCCACGAACCATACTTTGGGTGATATAAAAATGGAACAAGCACCATCCCTGCTCTCAGGAATCCTCAGTAAAAGTGCAGAGGTGTCTAAGACACACCATATCAAACTTATCATTAGCAATAGGTAGCAGTATGTCATCAGTACCAGGTAAGTTGTAAAAAGAAAATGTGTCACTCAAGTCAGGTAAGGTAGATAGTTATAGAAGGTGTCAACGCAGAGATAGTGTATCAGGATAGACTGGGTTGTTCAGTAACAAGCAAACACAAATCTAAAGGTTTTATTTTTTACTATTGTTATATATCTACTAAGGGTTAAGGGTTGGCTGGGTGCTCTATTCTCTTTTTTTCCTCCTTATTCTAGAATAAAGATTGACAAAGCAGCTACCAGAGGAAAAGAAAGCATGTGACTCATGTGTTGGCTCTTCAGACTTCCACTTTTCCCATTTCAGTGGCTGAAGCAAGTCACATGCCCACACTCAAGAAAGTGCAAGCCTATGATATGCCTAGGAGGATACAGCATAATGACTCCCACAGGTGAATCTGTACCAAGCCCAGAAGCATTGCCTAAAGATGTGCTTATTTGGCAATAGAAGGAGAACAACAAAGACTTTTCTAAAGAATTTCCCAAGCAGAGAAGTGAAGGAAAGGTATTTTGGCAGAACAAAGTTTTGCCAGTGTGCACTTCAGAAGAACTTATCGGATGATGGGAAATGGGCAATGGGCAGACCATGAAGCTAGAAAGAGCTTTGAATGCCATGCTGTGGTTTTGGACTTTATCTTTTAGTATCAAAGATTTTGAGGCATGGGATTAACATGATTAAATCTAAATTGTAGAAAGATCACTCTGACTGTGATGTGGAGAATGGATTGGAAGGAGAAGACATGAGAAGGAGAAATGCTGATTAGATCTTTGCAGTAGTTCAGGTGAGACTCGATCAGGATTTGAACTAGAGTGGTAGCCATGGGGATGGAGTAGAATCAGATTCAAGAGGCATTTAACAGGTGAATTATAGGACATGGTGACAGATTAGAAAGATTAGATGTGAGGAGATGAGAAACCAAAGATAATAGTTACGTTTTTGGCAGGGCTCAGCTTCTCCACGTCCTCAGACATTCAGCTCTGGCCCAGACCTGCACAACATTACCCAGCCAAACAAAATCTTCATATAACACACCCACTGTCCTTGGAGAGCATGTGAATCACCATCTCCTGTTCATTGAGCATGGTCTTTGGGTATCTACCCTTCACCTTGAGAAGCTTCTCAGAGTATTTCTTCTGACCATATACAGTATCTCTCCCTAAGAGGTCTAGCAAATAGAATTTTCTCTAGCTGGTGAATAAGTGAGAGGACATGTAAATTAATGTATGAATGAAGAGATGGATGAATGAGTGAACATCTAAACTGAGAATCTTAGGCACTACTGAGAGAAATATTCACTGTCTGCCACATTTACACAATGTGTATGTGAACATATGAAACAGTGTAGCCATATTTGACCCACCGCTCCCATGCCCTTGCCTCTGCTTCTGAGCTCAGAGCCAACACCAGAGATAAGACTTCTCCCACAGATCTGCCGGGTCAGACCCTAAATCTTGTCTTCTAGGGTTTAGAATTAAGCCACACTTGCATCCAGATGGTGATCTAGAGGCCCAGGTAGGATTTCTGAGCAAATGCACTGCCTCCAGGCCTCAGTGCTTCTCACTTCGCCTGTACTATACTGTTTCTCTGTAAGAGTTTCTAGTCCCCTATCTCTGCCAGGAGCCTGGCCCTGTGCCCCAGGTTTTGACAGAAGAGTCCTGTCACTAGTTGAGGTCCAATTAATTGGAAACCATGGTATAGAATAATAAATGAACTTGGACATGGAATCAGTTTCATCTCTGTACTCCCAGTGCTTGGCACATAGCTGGGCACACACAGTAGGGATTCAAGTACTACTTGTTAAACAAAAAGGCCATATAGCTTTGAGGTTAAGAGCATGGTTTCTGGAGTAAGATTGCTGGGTGTGAATCCCTGTTTCACCACTTATTAACTATATAGTTATGGGAGGCAGACTCTAAAAGGGCTTCCAGTGATCACCAGCTCCAGTATTCATGCTCTTGTGTAATCCCCTCCCTGGGCAATTTACCTTTCTTTTTCTCTAAAAATGGAGATAATAACAATACCTACTTCATAAAGTTATTGTGAAGATTAAGAAAGTTATTGTATCTAAAAATGCCTGGAATAGTTCCTAGTACATAGTAAGTGCCTGATGGGCATCAGTTACTATTTTTGTACTTCCCAAACCAGCCCCAGGAGCAGGTTCCCTGGCTCTGCCCAGCTGGAGTGGATGAGTCTCATGTCATAGGTCACTTCCATCACATTAAACCTGCCCATGGCTGCTTCCAGCCAGCGTCTCAAAATGAAACTTCCCTCAAAGAGTAGCAAATGGCCAGACAGAAAGGAAATGAATGAATGTTAGAGTTGAGCAGGCCTTGGCCTAACTCCCACTCTGCCATTAACCACCTGTATGATTTTGGACAGCTTGGTTTTTTCATCTCTTCCTCACATCTGGACTGGAAGTAATAATGCCTACTTTATCAGGTGTTTGTAATGAAATAATATGTTTTTTAAGTGTCTAGCTCACAATAGGAAATCAAACATGGGAATTTATCATTTTCATGATTTAATTTTTCCAAGCCCTTATCGGTAAAGTGGTGATAATAAGACCAACCGTAAAGTTGTGTAAGGGTTAGAGATAATGTATGAGTAGAGCCTGGCAGAGTGACAAGCACATAGAAGATTCTCAATAAAGTTCATAGTAGCTGCTGCTATTATTGTTATTGTTGTCATTGTTAATTCACCTAAAGATAAACAAGATTGGAAACAATAACAATCCAGCTGTCAAAATCCTGTACTCAATCCTGTAGCCAAGAGAATAGCTCTTAAACCCTCCTCTCTCCATCTTTTATTTTTAAAAATCACTTTGATGAACATTGATTCCCCTCCCACTGGTGAGAGTCAGAAATAGAACCAGAGAGGAGACAGGAAGGAGAAGAAAGTGGCATGACTCACTGGCTACTTGAGGAAAGAAACCAACCATGTCATCAAGAGCAATCAATTCACTTCGAAGAAACAGACATTCATTGAGCTCCTCCTATGGACAGAGCATTAAGCCAGAGAGTGGACACAAGAGTAAGCAAGCCACTGCTCTGGGCTCCAGTGCAGCAGACAGACACATGAGCGAGGGGGAAGGTGGCTAATATCAGCTGAATACCAATTATGTGCTAGGCTCTTTGATAAGTGCTTAACATATGGGACCTCAGTTATTATTTGTAGAAACAAAATAAAACTGCTAGTTGAGCACTGTTATATGCCAGGTACTTTTCTTATTTTATTTAATTTTCAAAAGAGCCTTGAAATACTGTTATTTCTCTTTACAGATAAGGAAAGGTTAAAAATTTGCCTCAGATATTGCAACCAGTTCATGGCCAACTGAGATTCAAACCTGGGTCTCTCTGATTCCAAAGCTTGTGC